GCAGTTTACAAGAGTTCTGTAGCCTGGATGTACAGAGAAGTACTTTACAGAGTTCTGTAGCATGGAAGTAGCAATGCACAATATGCAGTTTTCTATACACGAGTGTGGGAGATGCAGCAACGGTGTTTGTAACATTGGTGAAGGGCAATGCAGTTGATGAGAGTTCTGTTCCCTGGGTATATAGAAAAGCAGTATACAGTGTGTGTATCTGGGAGTAGCAATACGCGATTTGCGGTTTTGGTGTAGCTTAACTGTAGGAGACGCAGCTTACGGGAGTTCAGTAAGCTGGGTGGTGAGAGATGCAGTTTATGGGATTCTGTACGCTCGGTGTAGTTAGAAGCACTTTACAGAGTTCTGTAGTGTGGGAGTTGCATACGCACTCTGCAGGTTTTCTATAGCCATGCGGGGGAGTAGCAATATGCAATATGTGGGTTTCCTATAACCTGAATGTGGGGAGATGCAGCTCATGTGTGTTGTTAGGTTGGGTAGAGAGATGCAGTTTACCAGAATTCTGTATCCTGGGTGTAGAATGAAGGCGTTTACAAGAGTTCTGGAGCCTGGGACTAGCAATACGCAATATGCGGGTTTGCTATGAGCTGTAGAATGAATGCCTGGGGGTAGGCGTTCGCACTGTAAAGGATTTCAGTAACCTGAGTGTTGAGAGAAGCAGTTTGCACCAGTTCTGTAGCCTGGCAGTAGGCATTCCCAATATCTGGGATACCTGTGGCTTATGTGTAGAAGAACAGCTTGTGGTATTTCAGTATCCTGGGTCTTGGGATATGCAGTGTACAAGAGTTCTGTAGCCTGGGAGTAGGAGTACGCATATCTGGAACATCTGTAGCGTGAGTATAGCAGACACAGCTTGCGGTATTTCTGTATCCTTGGTCTAGAGAGAAGCAGTGTACAAGAGTTCTGTAGTCGGGATGTACAGAGAAGTACTTTACAGAGTTCTGTGGCATGGAAGTAGCAATGCACAATATGCAGGTTTTCCATAACACGAGTGAGGGAGACAGGTAACGGGGTTTTGTGACATTGGTGAAGGGCAATGTAGTTGATGAGAGTTCTGTTTCCCTGGTATATGGAAAAGCAGTATACAGTGTGTGTAGCTTGGGAGTAGCAATACGCGATTTGCGGGTTTTTGTGTAGCTTAACTGTAGGAGACGCAGCTTAGGGGGAGTTCAGTAAGCTGGGTGGTGAGAGATGCAGTTTATGGGATTCTGTACGCTCGGTGTAGTTAGAAGCACTTTACAGAGTTCTGTCGTGTGGGAGTAGCAATATGCACTCTGCAGGTTTTCTATAGCCCGTGTGTGGGAGATGCAGCTAATGGGTGTTCTGTAACGTGGTTGCAGGGAAATGCAGCCTCCGGGAGTTCTATAAGCTGGGTGTGGAGAGATGCAGTTTATGGGAATTGTGGAAGCTGCTTACAGAGAGAAACAGTTTACCGAGTTCTGTAGCGTGGGAGTAGCAATACACAATATGTGGGTTTCCTATAACCTGAATGTGGGAGATGCAGCTCATGTGCTTGTTGTTAGGTTGGGTAGAGAGATGCAGTTTACCAGAATTCTGTATCCTGGGTGTAGAATGAAGGCGTTTACAAGAGTTCTGGAGCCTGGGACTAGCAATACGCAATATGCGGGTTTGCTATGAGCTGTAGAATGAATGCCTGGGGAGTAGGCATTCGCACTGTACAGGATTTCTGTAACCTGGTATTGAGAGAAGCAGTTTGCACCAGTTCTGTAGCCTGGGAGTAGGCATTCGCAATATCTGGGATATCTGTAGCCTTGGTGCAGCAGACACAGCTTACCGTATTCTGTATCCTAGGTCTAGAAGAAGAAGCTTACAAGAGTTCTGTAGCCTGGGAGTAGACATTCGAAATAAGTGGGATTTCTATAGCCTGAGTGTAGGAGATGCAGCTCACGTGCTTTTTGTGACATTGGGGTAGAGAGATGCAGTTTAACAGAGTTCCGTATCCTGGGTGTAGAATGAAGCAGTTTACAAGAGTTCTGTAGCCTGGGAGTTGGAGTACGCTATATCTGGGATATCCGTAGCGTGAGTGTAGCAAACGCAGCTTGCAGTATTTCTGTATCCTGGGTCTAGAGAGAAGCAGTTTACAAGAGTTCTGTAGCCTGGATGTACAGAGAAGTACTTTACAGAGTTCTGTAGCATGGAAGTAGCAATGCACAATATGCAGGTTTTCCATAACACGAGTGTGGGAGATGCAGCAACGGTTGTTTTGTAACATTGGTGAAGGGCAATGTAGTTGATGAGAGTTCTGTTTCCCTGGTATATAGAAAAGCAGTATACAGTGTTGTGTAGCTTGGGAGTAGCAATACGCGATTTGCGGTTTTGGTGTAGCTTAACTGTAGGAGACGCAGCTTACTGGAGTTCAGTAAGCTGGGTGGTGAGAGATGCAGTTTATGGGATTCTGTACGCTCGGTGTAGTTAGAAGCACTTTACAGAGTTCTGTAGTGTGGGAGTTGCATACGCACTCTGCAGGTTTTCTATAGCCCATGCGGGGGAGTAGCAATATGCAATATGTGGGTTTCCTATAACCTGAATGTGGGAGATGCAGCTCATGTGCTTGTTGTTAGGTTGGGTAGAGAGATGCAGTTTACCAGAATTCTGTATCCTGGGTGTAGAATGAAGGCGTTTACAAGAGTTCTGGAGCCTGGGACTAGCAATACGCAATATGCGGGTTTGCTATGAGCTGTAGAATGAATGCCTGGGGGTAGGCGTTCGCACTGTAAAGGATTTCAGTAACCTGAGTGTTGAGAGAAGCAGTTTGCACCAGTTCTGTAGCCTGGCAGTAGGCATTCCCAATATCTGGGATACCTGTGGCTTATGTGTAGAAGACACAGCTTGTGGTATTTCAGTATCCTGGGTCTTGGGATATGCAGTGTACAAGAGTTCTGTAGCCTGGGAGTAGGAGTACGCAATATCTGGAACATCTGTAGCGTGAGTATAGCAGACACAGCTTGCGGTATTTCTGTATCCTTGGTCTAGAGAGAAGCAGTGTACAAGAGTTCTGTAGTCTGGATGTACAGAGAAGTACTTTACAGAGTTCTGTGGCATGGAAGTAGCAATGCACCATATGCAGGTTTTCCATAACACGAGTGAGGGAGACAAGGTAACGGGGGTTTTGTGACATTGGTGAAGGGCAATGTAGTTGATGAGAGTTCTGTTTCCCTGGTATATGGAAAAGCAGTATACAGTGTTGTGTAGCTTGGGAGTAGCAATACGCGATTTGCGGTTTTTGTGTAGCTTAACTGTAGGAGACGCAGCTTAGGGGAGTTCAGTAAGCTGGGTGGTGAGAGATGCAGTTTATGGGATTCTGTACGCTCGGTGTAGTTAGAAGCACTTTACAGAGTTCTGTAGTGTGGGAGTAGCAATATGCACTCTGCAGGTTTTCTATAGCCCGTGTGTGGGAGATGCAGCTAATGGGTGTTCTGTAACGTGGTTGCAGGGAAATGCAGCCTCCGGGAGTTCTATAAGCTGGGTGTGGAGAGATGCAGTTTATGGGAATTGTGGAAGCTGCTTACAGAGAGAAACAGTTTACCGAGTTCTGTAGCGTGGGAGTAGCAATACACAATATGTGGGTTTCCTATAACCTGAATGTGGGAGATGCAGCTCATGTGCTTGTTGTTAGGTTGGGTAGAGAGATGCAGTTTACCAGAATTCTGTATCCTGGGTGTAGAATGAAGGCGTTTACAAGAGTTCTGGAGCCTGGGACTAGCAATACGCAATATGCGGGTTTGCTATGAGCTGTAGAATGAATGCCTGGGAGTAGGCATTCGCACTGTACAGGATTTCTGTAACCTGGGTATTGAGAGAAGCAGTTTGCACCAGTTCTGTAGCCTGGGAGTAGGCATTCGCAATATCTGGGATATCTGTAGCCTTGGTGCAGCAGACACAGCTTACCGTATTTCTGTATCCTAGGTCTAGAAAGAAGAAGCTTACAAGAGTTCTGTAGCCTGGGAGTAGACATTCGAAATAAGTGGGATTTCTATAGCCTGAGTGTAGGAGATGCAGCTCACGTGCTTTTTGTGACATTGGGGTAGAGAGATGCAGTTTAACAGAGTTCCGTATCCTGGGTGTAGAATGAAGCAGTTTACAAGAGTTCTGTAGCCTGGGAGTTGGAGTACGCTATATCTGGGATATCCGTAGCGTGAGTGTAGCAAACGCAGCTTGCAGTATTTCTGTATCCTGGGTCTAGAGAGAAGCAGTTTACAAGAGTTCTGTAGCCTGGATGTACAGAGAAGTACTTTACAGAGTTCTGTAGCATGGAAGTAGCAATGCACAATATGCAGGTTTTCCATAACACGAGTGTGGGAGATGCAGCAACGGTTGTTTTGTAACATTGGTGAAGGGCAATGTAGTTGATGAGAGTTCTGTTTCCCTGGTATATAGAAAAGCAGTATACAGTGTTGTGTAGCTTGGGAGTAGCAATACGCGATTTGCGGTTTTGGTGTAGCTTAACTGTAGGAGACGCAGCTTACTGGAGTTCAGTAAGCTGGGTGGTGAGAGATGCAGTTTATGGGATTCTGTACGCTCGGTGTAGTTAGAAGCACTTTACAGAGTTCTGTAGTGTGGGAGTTGCATACGCACTCTGCAGGTTTTCTATAGCCCATGCGGGGGAGTAGCAATATGCAATATGTGGGTTTCCTATAACCTGAATGTGGGAGATGCAGCTCATGTGCTTGTTGTTAGGTTGGGTAGAGAGATGCAGTTTACCAGAATTCTGTATCCTGGGTGTAGAATGAAGGCGTTTACAAGAGTTCTGGAGCCTGGGACTAGCAATACGCAATATGCGGGTTTGCTATGAGCTGTAGAATGAATGCCTGGGGGTAGGCGTTCGCACTGTAAAGGATTTCAGTAACCTGAGTGTTGAGAGAAGCAGTTTGCACCAGTTCTGTAGCCTGGCAGTAGGCATTCCCAATATCTGGGATACCTGTGGCTTATGTGTAGAAGACACAGCTTGTGGTATTTCAGTATCCTGGGTCTTGGGATATGCAGTGTACAAGAGTTCTGTAGCCTGGGAGTAGGAGTACGCAATATCTGGAACATCTGTAGCGTGAGTATAGCAGACACAGCTTGCGGTATTTCTGTATCCTTGGTCTAGAGAGAAGCAGTGTACAAGAGTTCTGTAGTCTGGATGTACAGAGAAGTACTTTACAGAGTTCTGTGGCATGGAAGTAGCAATGCACCATATGCAGGTTTTCCATAACACGAGTGAGGGAGACAAGGTAACGGGGGTTTTGTGACATTGGTGAAGGGCAATGTAGTTGATGAGAGTTCTGTTTCCCTGGTATATGGAAAAGCAGTATACAGTGTTGTGTAGCTTGGGAGTAGCAATACGCGATTTGCGGTTTTTGTGTAGCTTAACTGTAGGAGACGCAGCTTAGGGGAGTTCAGTAAGCTGGGTGGTGAGAGATGCAGTTTATGGGATTCTGTACGCTCGGTGTAGTTAGAAGCACTTTACAGAGTTCTGTCGTGTGGGAGTAGCAATATGCACTCTGCAGGTTTTCTATAGCCCGTGTGTGGGAGATGCAGCTAATGGGTGTTCTGTAACGTGGTTGCAGGGAAATGCAGCCTCCGGGAGTTCTATAAGCTGGGTGTGGAGAGATGCAGTTTATGGGAATTGTGGAAGCTGCTTACAGAGAGAAACAGTTTACCGAGTTCTGTAGCGTGGGAGGTAGCAATACACAATATGTGGGTTTCCTATAACCTGAATGTGGGAGATGCAGCTCATGTGCTTGTTGTTAGGTTGGGTAGAGAGATGCAGTTTACCAGAATTCTGTATCCTGGGTGTAGAATGAAGGCGTTTACAAGAGTTCTGGAGCCTGGGACTAGCAATACGCAATATGCGGGTTTGCTATGAGCTGTAGAATGAATGCCTGGGAGTAGGCATTCGCACTGTACAGGATTTCTGTAACCTGGGTATTGAGAGAAGCAGTTTGCACCAGTTCTGTAGCCTGGGAGTAGGCATTCGCAATATCTGGGATATCTGTAGCCTTGGTGCAGCAGACACAGCTTACCGTATTTCTGTATCCTAGGTCTAGAAAGAAGAAGCTTACAAGAGTTCCGTAGCCTGGGAGTAGACATTCGAAATAAGTGGGATTTCTATAGCCTGAGTGTAGGAGATGCAGCTCACGTGCTTTTTGTGACATTGGGGTAGAGAGATGCAGTTTAACAGAGTTCCGTATCCTGGGTGTAGAATGAAGCAGTTTACAAGAGTTCTGTAGCCTGGGAGTTGGAGTACGCTATATCTGGGATATCCGTAGCGTGAGTGTAGCAAACGCAGCTTGCAGTATTTCTGTATCCTGGGTCTAGAGAGAAGCAGTTTACAAGAGTTCTGTAGCCTGGATGTACAGAGAAGTACTTTACAGAGTTCTGTAGCATGGAAGTAGCAATGCACAATATGCAGGTTTTCCATAACACGAGTGTGGGAGATGCAGCAACGGTTGTTTTGTAACATTGGTGAAGGGCAATGTAGTTGATGAGAGTTCTGTTTCCCTGGTATATAGAAAAGCAGTATACAGTGTTGTGTAGCTTGGGAGTAGCAATACGCGATTTGCGGTTTTGGTGTAGCTTAACTGTAGGAGACGCAGCTTACTGGAGTTCAGTAAGCTGGGTGGTGAGAGATGCAGTTTATGGGATTCTGTACGCTCGGTGTAGTTAGAAGCACTTTACAGAGTTCTGTAGTGTGGGAGTTGCATACGCACTCTGCAGGTTTTCTATAGCCCATGCGGGGGAGTAGCAATATGCAATATGTGGGTTTCCTATAACCTGAATGTGGGAGATGCAGCTCATGTGCTTGTTGTTAGGTTGGGTAGAGAGATGCAGTTTACCAGAATTCTGTATCCTGGGTGTAGAATGAAGGCGTTTACAAGAGTTCTGGAGCCTGGGACTAGCAATACGCAATATGCGGGTTTGCTATGAGCTGTAGAATGAATGCCTGGGGGTAGGCGTTCGCACTGTAAAGGATTTCAGTAACCTGAGTGTTGAGAGAAGCAGTTTGCACCAGTTCTGTAGCCTGGCAGTAGGCATTCCCAATATCTGGGATACCTGTGGCTTATGTGTAGAAGACACAGCTTGTGGTATTTCAGTATCCTGGGTCTTGGGATATGCAGTGTACAAGAGTTCTGTAGCCTGGGAGTAGGAGTACGCAATATCTGGAACATCTGTAGCGTGAGTATAGCAGACACAGCTTGCGGTATTTCTGTATCCTTGGTCTAGAGAGAAGCAGTGTACAAGAGTTCTGTAGTCTGGATGTACAGAGAAGTACTTTACAGAGTTCTGTGGCATGGAAGTAGCAATGCACAATATGCAGGTTTTCCATAACACGAGTGAGGGAGACAAGGTAACGGGGGTTTTGTGACATTGGTGAAGGGCAATGTAGTTGATGAGAGTTCTGTTTCCCTGGTATATGGAAAAGCAGTATACAGTGTTGTGTAGCTTGGGAGTAGCAATACGCGATTTGCGGTTTTTGTGTAGCTTAACTGTAGGAGACGCAGCTTAGGGGAGTTCAGTAAGCTGGGTGGTGAGAGATGCAGTTTATGGGATTCTGTACGCTCGGTGTAGTTAGAAGCACTTTACAGAGTTCTGTCGTGTGGGAGTAGCAATATGCACTCTGCAGGTTTTCTATAGCCCGTGTGTGGGAGATGCAGCTAATGGGTGTTCTGTAACGTGGTTGCAGGGAAATGCAGCCTCCGGGAGTTCTATAAGCTGGGTGTGGAGAGATGCAGTTTATGGGAATTGTGGAAGCTGCTTACAGAGAGAAACAGTTTACCGAGTTCTGTAGCGTGGGAGTAGCAATACACAATATGTGGGTTTCCTATAACCTGAATGTGGGAGATGCAGCTCATGTGCTTGTTGTTAGGTTGGGTAGAGAGATGCAGTTTACCAGAATTCTGTATCCTGGGTGTAGAATGAAGGCGTTTACAAGAGTTCTGGAGCCTGGGACTAGCAATACGCAATATGCGGGTTTGCTATGAGCTGTAGAATGAATGCCTGGGGGTAGGCATTCGCACTGTACAGGATTTCTGTAACCTGGGTATTGAGAGAAGCAGTTTGCACCAGTTCTGTAGCCTGGGAGTAGGCATTCGCAATATCTGGGATATCTGTAGCCTTGGTGCAGCAGACACAGCTTACCGTATTTCTGTATCCTAGGTCTAGAAAGAAGAAGCTTACAAGAGTTCCGTAGCCTGGGAGTAGACATTCGAAATAAGTGGGATTTCTATAGCCTGAGTGTAGGAGATGCAGCTCACGTGCTTTTTGTGACATTGGGGTAGAGAGATGCAGTTTAACAGAGTTCCGTATCCTGGGTGTAGAATGAAGCAGTTTACAAGAGTTCTGTAGCCTGGGAGTTGGAGTACGCTATATCTGGGATATCCGTAGCGTGAGTGTAGCAAACGCAGCTTGCAGTATTTCTGTATCCTGGGTCTAGAGAGAAGCAGTTTACAAGAGTTCTGTAGCCTGGATGTACAGAGAAGTACTTTACAGAGTTCTGTAGCATGGAAGTAGCAATGCACAATATGCAGGTTTTCCATAACACGAGTGTGGGAGATGCAGCAACGGTTGTTTTGTAACATTGGTGAAGGGCAATGTAGTTGATGAGAGTTCTGTTTCCCTGGTATATAGAAAAGCAGTATACAGTGTTGTGTAGCTTGGGAGTAGCAATACGCGATTTGCGGTTTTGGTGTAGCTTAACTGTAGGAGACGCAGCTTACTGGAGTTCAGTAAGCTGGGTGGTGAGAGATGCAGTTTATGGGATTCTGTACGCTCGGTGTAGTTAGAAGCACTTTACAGAGTTCTGTAGTGTGGGAGTTGCATACGCACTCTGCAGGTTTTCTATAGCCCATGCGGGGGAGTAGCAATATGCAATATGTGGGTTTCCTATAACCTGAATGTGGGAGATGCAGCTCATGTGCTTGTTGTTAGGTTGGGTAGAGAGATGCAGTTTACCAGAATTCTGTATCCTGGGTGTAGAATGAAGGCGTTTACAAGAGTTCTGGAGCCTGGGACTAGCAATACGCAATATGCGGGTTTGCTATGAGCTGTAGAATGAATGCCTGGGGGTAGGCGTTCGCACTGTAAAGGATTTCAGTAACCTGAGTGTTGAGAGAAGCAGTTTGCACCAGTTCTGTAGCCTGGCAGTAGGCATTCCCAATATCTGGGATACCTGTGGCTTATGTGTAGAAGACACAGCTTGTGGTATTTCAGTATCCTGGGTCTTGGGATATGCAGTGTACAAGAGTTCTGTAGCCTGGGAGTAGGAGTACGCAATATCTGGAACATCTGTAGCGTGAGTATAGCAGACACAGCTTGCGGTATTTCTGTATCCTTGGTCTAGAGAGAAGCAGTGTACAAGAGTTCTGTAGTCTGGATGTACAGAGAAGTACTTTACAGAGTTCTGTGGCATGGAAGTAGCAATGCACCATATGCAGGTTTTCCATAACACGAGTGAGGGAGACAAGGTAACGGGGGTTTTGTGACATTGGTGAAGGGCAATGTAGTTGATGAGAGTTCTGTTTCCCTGGTATATGGAAAAGCAGTATACAGTGTTGTGTAGCTTGGGAGTAGCAATACGCGATTTGCGGTTTTTGTGTAGCTTAACTGTAGGAGACGCAGCTTAGGGGAGTTCAGTAAGCTGGGTGGTGAGAGATGCAGTTTATGGGATTCTGTACGCTCGGTGTAGTTAGAAGCACTTTACAGAGTTCTGTCGTGTGGGAGTAGCAATATGCACTCTGCAGGTTTTCTATAGCCCGTGTGTGGGAGATGCAGCTAATGGGTGTTCTGTAACGTGGTTGCAGGGAAATGCAGCCTCCGGGAGTTCTATAAGCTGGGTGTGGAGAGATGCAGTTTATGGGAATTGTGG